TTTTTTTCAACTCTGACATTCTGCCCTTCGACCATAAGTCAGATAGCAGTGGCCTCTGTCTGGTATGTTGATTGATCGCCTCTGCTTCTATTTATTTATCATTTCTGATTTTCGGTATTTATGATATTGTTATTTTTGTAGTGTATTATATATTATCTATTAGATAGCGCCTCGCCGCATCACACTGACCAAACGCACTAAAGACAACAATTATTGGGCGTATCTGTCCATGTTCTAGTGGAAGATTCATTCGCATTTTGCACATTCGGTGAGTAGTGCGGCGAGCCGCATATGCTGCTTTTCCTTTATGGGTTTGCTGCAAGTCAGGGTTGATAGCTTCTGTAAGAGAGGGGAAAAAAAGTTTTACAGCTTTAAAAAAAAAAAAAAGATTTGACATCTTCGTTTTTTCTGTTCTTGCTGCAAGTCAGGGTTGATGGCTTGTCTAAGAGAGGGAAAAAAAGTTTTACAGCTTAGAAGAAAAAAAAAGAAAAAAAAAGAAAAGAACGTTTGACAGCTCCTTAGAAAAAAAAAGAAAAAAAAAAAAAGGTTTGACATCTTCGTTTTTTCTGTTCTTCCCCTCTTCTTGTTGTTATATTTCTGATCTCTGGTATTAAATTAAATGGATGAGAATTTATTTATTTATTTATTTTGAAGTAAAATTTTTAAATTTTCACTTCTCTAAGAGGGGGGGAAAAAGTTGTACAGCTTTAAAAAAAAAAAGAAAAAAAAAAAAGAAGAGCGTTTGACAGCTTCTTAGACCAAAAAAAAAGAGAAAAAGAGAAAGGTTTGACATCTTCTTTTTTTTCTGTTGTTCCCCCCTCTTCTTGTTGGTGTTTCGCAGGTCTGTCTCCCATGAAGATTGGAACCTTCCCGGAACTTTCGCTCCAATCTGGCGAGGAGAGAGAGAAAGCTGTGCTGCAGCAGTTTGCTATCGCCGCATCTCACTCTATTTTTTTTTATTTTCTTATCCTGCTTTTTCTTAATTTGTTTATTTTCTTCTTCTTCGTCGTCGTCTTCTTCTTTTCTCTCTTTTTTTTTTTTCCCTTCTTGTTCTTGTTCTTGTTCTTGATAAGTTCTGGAGCGCAGCCACAGGCGAAACGCGTGGGGAACTCTGCTGGTTCAATAGAGAGAGAAAGCTAGGTGTGTCTTTCTTCTCTTCGGCGTCGTCTTCTGAGCTCTGTTCTGTCAGAGCGAGCTGGTTCAATGAAGTTATTGTCGTCATGATGCCTTGACCCCCCTAGCTTCTCTCTATTCCGCCTTGAGCCCCCTAGCTTCTCTCTATTCCATTCTCCATTCTCCATTCTCCATTCTCCATTCTCCTTCTTCTCTGCTTCTTTTCAATTTTATCTTCTTCTTCTTCTATCACGAAGTCGCGCCTGGTCGTGAGGTTATGCGTCAGGCCGGCAGAACGTCTATGCGACAGGCGGATCGTAGCCGTACGCACTCGTGGAAGTGCCCGTTGATCGGTGATCGGTCGTTGGACAGTATATATAGGAGGACAAGGCCGTATCGGTGATCTATGGTCACTCAGTAAGATGGTGGGAGGTGTGTCGGCGGGCCGCAAGGTAGAGGGGGTCAAGAGGTTAGCCCCCTGAGGATGATCGGAGCGGAGCGCAACCGATCGATGGAAGCGCGTCGGGGAATGTGCGCGTGAGCGGAGGATGAGTATGCGCGGAGATGTTTCCCCACTATTGAAGAACTTTGGAAGCGTGTACGAAAAACTGAGATGAGTATGCGCGGATGATCGGAGCGGAGCGCAACTGCTTGCACGATTCCACTCTTCTTGTTCTTCTTCTTCTTCGTTTGTCAAAAAGTGAGACGGCCTTGTTGATATATAGTAAATCATTTTCGAACGGAGATTGAACTCTCGGTAAACTCGAGAGTTATTTTCACTCATCTTTATTTTTCACTCTATCTTATTCCATCGCGATTGATCTCTCGTCTGTGTTTCAACAGGTCGTTCATCGTTCAGGGGTGTACTATCTGAGCTCTACGTCAGTGGGTTCATCTTGGGGCTTAACTTTCACCCCAGTCCACTTAGGCGTTTGGTTGAGTGTTTGCCTCTTGACGTGGAGGTCACGTGTTCGATCCTTGGATCGGTGCGGACGGACAGATTATTGTCTGGAGTAAGTTTCAGTTCACTTCTTCTTCTTCTTCGTCTTGTTTGTCTGGTGTTTTTTTTTTTTTTTTTTTTTTTTTTTTTATGCTCGTCAGTAGTTTCTGGATGATGGAGTGGTTGGTCAGCACGATGACGAGTGTGATCAATCTAGCGGACCTGTCTGTGGGTGCTAATTTATGGGTCTCGGCCTCTTTTCTAGTCATCCCGATCGTTCTAGTACTTAACGCCTGGAGCTTGCTTCGCGAAGATTTGAACGGGGGCAGGATTGGCAATGTGGAGTTGGAGTTCTCATCTCCGAGTAAGAGCAGCAGACATAATGGCAGGTCGGCAGTCAGGAACCACCACCACCACGTGGACGTTCACAGATTGCAAATGACGTTATCCGCATTATCTCCATCGTCTTTGTCGTCTTCCTCCACTGGATCAAGTCGCTTAGAGCAGATCATTGTGGTGGATGGGGGTGTGACACGTGTCACAGCCTTGGCGGGTCGTCGATCAACGTCGTTCTCCCATCCTGCGTTGAGCCGATTCGCTCCAGCTTTCTCCTCCTCCTCCTCCTCCTCCTCCTCGTGCTCCTCCTCTTGTGCATCTGCATTCGCGTCTAAAATTGCGATCCCGACGGGTGGGTGCTCTGCTGCTCCTGGTCGGGGTTCGCTGCCACCACTGTCAGCTTCTCCCTCTCCTCCTCCTCCTCCTCCTCCTTGTCCATGTCCTCCTCCTTTGTCTCCAAATCTTCCTCTCTCTCCCAACAGCTTCAGCAGGAGTAAGGCTTGCACGGACGCCGGAGGAGGTGCTGGGCGAGCAGCGGCGGCGGGGGGGGGCGAGCTCCAGCTCCCTCTCTTCTCCCCTGATCTCTCTCCCAACCCTGCAGCAGGAGGACCTGTTCTGAGTCGCAGCGCTTCGCTGCCTCCCAAGCCGCCACGTAAGCAGGCTCTCGATCGCGATCGGGTCCGTCTGTACAGCCGTTCCCTAAGTCACCCACCCTTTGGCCGCCGCTCCTCTCTCGCTTCCATCTCCATCGCGGGAGGAAGAGGTGGAGGGTCCTCCTCTCTCAGTCGTCCGCTGTGTAGGAGGTCCAGATGCCTGTCCGCTGACGTGGCGCGAGAGGAGGCGGCGACGACCCATCGTTTGGGTCGGGATCTCGACCTCTGGCCCTCTCTCGTCGCATGGGCGAAGAGTCTGGGCCGGGCTAAGCCTGCGATCGGGATCCGCCGGGATCTCTCCCCGACTAAGCCTGCCGCTACCAAGAGCGGCGATATCGAGTCCTCCGACGACGACGATTCAAAGCGGGACCCCTGCGATCGCGATCGGGAGCGGGATCACGACCATGGACTTCCAGAGAAGGAGCAGGCCGACGTTGATTCCGTCGGGATCGGGACCACGACTCGGCATACGACCGGAACACACCTTGTAAGTCGTTTCTCTCTCAAACTCTCATGTCTCTGTCAAATAATCAAACTCTCGAACTCGCTCATCTCTTGCTCCCTCCCTTCCTCGGGCTTCGGCTTCTCTTTGACAAAGTATCATCATGCTGTGATGTCTAACAACACACAAATACTCTCTCTCTCTCTTCTGTTTCTCTCTCTGTTTCTCTCTGTGTGTCTCTCTGTGTGTGTCTCTCTGTGTGTCTCTCTCTGTTTCTCTCTCTGCTTCGCTCTCTGTTCCTCTCTTTCTCCCGCTATTTGCTTTCCCCCTCATCTCCTGATTCTCTATTCCTCTCATCTCTCTCTCTCTCTCTCTCTCTCTCTCTCTC